ATTTTCCACCAAACACTGAAAAATAAAGACAGCAAATAAAAGTCCCTTTTAATGGGGAAAGGCCTCCTGGGCCTCTGTGGAGGGAAGTACTAGTTCAACCAGAGCTGGCAGAGTAGGTGGTGCCAGGCTCTGTGCCTCTGCATCCTCGAACCCATATGGCCCGAGGTGGCTGGATCCAGCTGGTGCAAACGAACATGGTGATGGGCACCCCTGCCTGGGGAAAATGAATTATCATTGGGTTAATTGAAATTAGTACCAAGATCACCCCCCTGGAAGAGGCCTAATGATGCTCCTGAAAGTTTGAAAAAACCAAAGATCAAAAGAAAAATCACAGAATGCAGTGTTCCCCAAGGGATGGAGGGTGCCCAGTAGGGAGCATGATCAGCAGCAGACAAGCCTCCAGGGTCCGACAGTGGTGTTTCCAATCACAGCATGGGTCTGTCTTTGGTATATTATCAGAGGGACATTAAGAGAGAGTGATGGCAGAGACATTTTTTTTTTTAATTGAGATATAACACAATATAGTCAGGTGCATTAGTTTTCAGCACAGATTTTTATTAATTTTTACATAGAAATGTACTCATGTAACTACTACTTGGATCAAATACAGCACATTTCCAACACCTAAGAAGGTTTTCCCTGCTCCCTTCCAGTTAATACCCACTGCATACCACTCCCTCCCCAGAGGCAACCACTGTTTATACACTCAACATTATGTCTGTGAGGTTTGTTCACGATGCTGTGTGTAGCAAGAGTTTGTCCATTTTCTTCTTCTTTTTTTTTTTATTGCTGATTCTAATTCCACTGAATAACTATACCCCAATCTATCCATTCTCCTGCAGATGGAGGTCTTTAATTTATCTTCAACTTTTGGCTCTTATCAATGAAGTGGCTAGGGACATCCTTGCAAGCATGCATTTAGCTTCAGTACGCACTTCCACACAGTCCTGCTGAGAAGCTGAACCAGTCTTCACTCCCACCCACATGGTGTAGGAACCTCAACTCCTAACTCCAACCATACATAAAAACTGATTGGAGATAGATCATAGAGCTAACCGTGAAAGACAAAACAAGAGGACGTCTAGAAGAGAACATAGAAGAATAACTTCATGACCTCGGGATAGACAAAAACAGAACACAAAACGCATTAACCATAATGAAAAATATACATAAATTGTACTTTTTAAAATAATGACTTTGCTCCTCAAAAGCTACTACCAAGAGAGTGAAAAGGCAAACTCATCTGTAATGAAGATATGCAACACGCATGTATAGCTAACGCATCTGTAACAGAGATATTCAATATGCATGTATATTTAACCAAGGCCTCTTACCCAGAGTTTATAAAAGACTCCTACAAGTCAATAAGACAATGACAAACAACTCAGTTTTTCAAAGTGGTTGAAAGGCTCAACAAGGCACTCCAGGGAGGAAAAGATTCTAATGATCTATTAGCATATGGAAAGATGCCCAACCTCTCTGGTCATTAGGGAAATACAAAATAATACCACAATGAGATGCCAACTACATAAACCACCCAACTGGCTAAAATGAAAGTGAAACTGATTTACCAAGTGCTGGCAAAGATATGGAGCCACAGCAAGTGCCATCCACAGGTGAGGGAGTGCAACCTGGGACAACCGTCCGGCTGAACATACGCACATCCTATGACCTCACACTTCCAGTCCGAGGTACACACCCCACACAAATGTACACATTTGCCCACCAAAACGCATCTATAAGAACATGCATAGCAGTGCTGTTCTATGGCCCCAAATGGAAACAACTCAAATGTCCAGCAGTTATTTTTTATTTTGAAAAACCGTGGTATATTCATATAATGAAACACTGGAATGGTACACAACACTGCAGAACAATAGACTGCTACTTTATTCAACAACAGATGAATCTCTCAGATATGTCATAGGGTGAAAGAAGCAAGACCCAAAAAGTACACCCTACTATTCTATTTATGTAAAGGTTAAAAACAGGCGAAACTAGGGCACGACACCAGCAGTTAGAACAATGTGCTATACAGCACAGCAGTGGGCAGAATAGATGGACAAAAATCACATAATCTCTCTCTCTCTCTCTCTCTCTCTCTCTCTCTCTCTCTCTCTCTCTCTCTCTCCAGGGCCCAGAATTGTGAAAGAAAAGTTCAGAGTGTTATAAGGTGGAAGCAGGGAGACATGACCTTCTCTGGGGGCTCCGGGAGGGCTTCCCAGAGGGCCAGAAGGGTGAGTTAGCTAGACAAAGGGCATGGCAGAGGTGGTACTTACAAGGGAAAGGGAGTTACAAGCAGAGGGTGTAGCACGTGCAAAAGCTCTGAGGTGGGAGGAAGCCTGGCACCTGCAGATGGTGGATATGGCAGAACCCAGAGGCTGAGCAAGTGAGTAGCACGGATGTGGCTGGAAGGTCACGTTGGGGTTAGACTGGAGTGCCCTCAAGAGCTCTAATGATGATTTAGGGAAAGAAAATGGGATATACCATCCAGGGTTTTAAGCAAACAGTTCAGGTGACCTGGTGTAGAGTGCAGAGGGGCTGTGGCTTTGGTCACTTGGATCAGTCTGGCTGGACTTTCAGAGCTGGGCCTCTCATCCACCCCAGGGCAGTTCTGCACCGTGCAGGATAGCAGTCCCTACTGGAGGAGGTGCTTCGGAAGGCTCTCAAACTCTGCCTGGGGCTCACTGCGGGCTGGAGAAGGTCCCTGTGCTGAATTGCAAATGTACCACTAGATACTGTATTATTGTAGTGGTTTCTAGAAAAATGGACAGAAGACTCAGCCTAGCCCTCTGGGGTGGTTCTGCCCACATAGGCCTCTTGTGTTCTGACTCCAGGCATCTGTTCTGTGTCCTGACCTTTTTACTGAGCAGTTTGGATTGAGTTCAGTCATTTTCTATATGGACAAGGCCGGGCAGAGGGTGCTAGCATGAACTGTCAGCAGGGAGGTGGATACCTGCCTGCAGTGTAGGCTGCAGGACGTGCTGGGAGGGGGCAGGGAGGACATGGGGGATTGAGTTCAGTCATTGTCTATATGGACAAGGCCGGGCAGAGGGTGCTAGCATGAACTGTCAGCAGGGAGGTGGGTACCTGCCTGCAGTGTAGGCTGCAGGACATGCTGGGAGGGGGCAGGGAGGACATGGGCAGAGCAGAGGGCATGCCAGCACAGGAGAGGGGGGATGGGCGATGAACCACTCATTGAGGGTGTTGCGGGGGGACGGCTAGAGGGCAGGTGTCTCTAGTCTGGGTTCAGGTTGTCTCTGAGACTCAGGGCAATGGCTTCAAAAGTGTCAGCATTAGCCGTGTTCAATGTGAGGGACCCTCCAAACTTCAGTGCACAGGGCAAGGAGAAGCAGGACAAGGAGGCCAGCAGTGGGAAAGTGCCCGTAGGTGAGCATGTGGACAGCAAGCCAGTCAATGTAATAAGGGCAAAGTCCAATATGGTAGTTCATATGTGCCAGATGTGGATCTAAGCACTTCACAAAGCTGTGCATATTGTTCAAGGTCACACAGCGAACATCAGAGCAAACAGGATGCAAGTCTAGGCAGTCTGGCTGCACACCCGTGCTCTGCTGCCTTTCTGTGTTAAAACATTTACCCTCAATGGGGCTTTGTGGGTAAACAGAGTCAGCAGATAACATCTTGGCAAATTTGTGCCTGGGAGCTCAGGAGACCTTGGTTAGCAACTGGGAATCCTTTAGAAAGCAAGGGGTCCCTGTGGATGGGCCTCAGTTTCCCCAAGATATATGGATGATGCTGTCCCAAAGCTGAACTGACAGGGAACTTAGACAATGATGCTCAGACTCCCTCATTTTCACACCATTCATTCATTGATTCACTCAATGATCATTTCATTGAGCACTTACTATACACCAGTCTTGCAAGTGCCAGGGCTATGTTGATTAGAAAGGGAGAGCCTTCCTTTCAGGGTATTGGAAAGGAAAAGACACTAAACACACACAATTATTTAACTATTCATTGTGATAAGAGCCTTAAAGAAGAAAATCAAGGGGCTATGATAGCATGTTATAGGAAGGATGACCTAGTCTTCCCTGGGAATGAGTCTTTAGGTCTGAGATTTAAAAACCAAGTTCCATGGAACTCTGGGATTCTATGGAAGTTATTTGCAGAGTTACCTAAGCCTTTAAATTAAACTATGTTTTTGAAAAAAGTAACAAAAGAGCATACTTCTATACTCAAATGCACCACATTGGAAACTGTTAGTTCATTCAGGTATTGATAAGTTACTTTTTTATTTCTTGAAATAAAGTTCTCCAGTCCTTTCTGTGCAGTGATTGAAGTTTATTGCAAATGTCTCACTGATGAAGAAGGATGAAGCCCAACACTTTTTTTTTAATTTTTAAAAATTCAGGGGTGGAAAAACTGATTGAATTTACTACAACCTGCTTTTATGAATTATGATTTTTTTGAGTTATTTTGTAGCCAAAACAAAATATGAAAACAATGAATGCTGAGGTCAATGTCAGACTTCAAATGGCATCCATAGCCTCTGGGGTCAAATTGTTGTAGCCATAGAAGCAGCTTTGCTGCTTTTAGTGTCTTTTCATGGCAAGTAAATGTTGCATATTTAACTTATACATATTCTGTTTTATATGCATTGAAAATTTTTATATTCTGGGTAGAATTTCAATTAAGTAAAAACAAGTTTGGAAATGTCCTCAGTTTAGAGGTGTCAGAGACCTGGACTGCCGTCCATACCGTTACCTCCCCAGTCCCATCTCAGCCCCCCCAACCCCTCATCCCTTTCCCACGGCCCGCCACTCCCTCATAGCCCCTGATGTGGCGTGGAAACTCCTGACGGACAACCAACTGCTCCTGGGGGTGACACACCCTAAGTGAACTGGGGCTGATGCAGGTCCTGAAAGGATCTCAACCCCAAGCCCACTCAAAGCTTCAGGCAATGTTCAGCACCACGGACAGCAAACACCGCCCTACACCTGCTCAGGCCTGGAAGAGAGTGGACAGGGCAGCACACTCACCCTTCTTAGTGGCTTCGAAGCTATCATGGAAGTGAATCCTCTGGATGTCATAGGTCAAGGTTGTGTTGGGCAGCAGAGTTCTGTTCCTGTTGATGATGTTGGCAGAAAATCGAAAGGCATGCTCCTCGGCATTCATGACCTGGGCGTTGGGGCCATCTGCATACTCAAAGATCCCTCCTACGAGAGATGGGTAAAATCGTGTGTGCTGGGGAAGGAGAGGGTGTTACCAAAGATGCTTGACTCGAGAAGTTGTATGGACGAACTTCCTCTTCCCAAGTATTCAATAATACCCTAGACAATTCCCAGACACAGAAATTGTGCTGGACCCTGAGAAATACAAAAATCCTCCAAGTTCATTTCACTCAGCTAGCAAATTTCTAACAGAGACTGGCACACAGAGCCAAATAAAATCACCAGCCTATTAATATTGCTAATAAAATTCTCCACAGAGTGCTGGCAAGTAGTCTACCAGAATATTACAAGGATAAGATACCATGACCATGCAGCGTTGTTTTCCAGGAATGTAAGCATGGTTCAATATGAAAAATCTGTGACTATCATCCCATTATATCAATAGTTCAAAGAAAAAAACACCCATGTATGATCAACACAAAATGCAGGGAGGCGTCTGGTAAAATCCAATACTTACTACTGTTAGGAATGCTCACTAATGGTGGAACACTAAAGACATTCTCATTAAAGAAAAAAAGGAGGAGGAGAAGAATTCACACCACACAATTAACCAGCAAAATAAAAGAGAAAAATAATTTAGAGGCACACTTCTTGGAAAGAATTTAAAAAAATTCTTATTTGAACATGATATACATGCCTTCCTAAAAAACAAAACAAAACAAAACAAAACCCTTAAAATAATACTTAAGCATGAAAACTAGTAGGAATTAGTAGAAGATTCAAGTTAAATAACAAGTTAGCACAAATTAATAGTGTTTCTTTATATCAGCAACAACCAGTAAGAAAACTTAATGGCAAAATAATTTCCTTTACAATAATATTAACAAAATATTAAATAACTAAGAACAAACCAAATAATAAGTGTATAATTCTAGTAATAGAAATGATAAAAACACCTTAAGTGAAAGATATAAAAGTAGACTTAAATGAGGAGGCATATCATGTTTCTGGATATTTAGATTCAAGGGTAGAGGTGTCAGTTTTCTCCAAATTAGTTTTCAGTTTAATTCAATTCCAATTAGAATCATAGAAGGATATTTCTTTTACTTGACAAAATGACTAAGAAGCATTTGGAAGACTAAACTGGAGATAATAGTCTAAAAAGAGATGAGAGGTGACTTGTACTACCAGATTTAAAATGTATCATAAAGCCAAAATAATTAAAACTATGTCCTAATGGTATATAAAAACACAGACAGATCAATGGAATGAGATTAAGAGTCCCCAGAAAGAGATTCAAGTAGCGATAAGTAAGACATGATAAAGGTGGCTATTTCTAATTAGTAGGTAGAAGATGAATTATTCAGGAATTGTGCTGAGACAATTATTCAATTATTTGGGAGAAATTTAAGTTAGATTCTAATCTTAAGCTACATATCAAAGTAAATGCCAGTTGGATTAAAGATTAAATAGCAAGAAAGTAATGGAAGAGAGGAGGAAAGAAAACACTATAAAAGTGCCAGAAGAGAAAATATATGAATATTATACAATATTGAGGTGGAGGCCTTCTTAGGCATTTTTAAAAAATAGAGTTTTAGAGAGAGAAGAAGGAAGAGGGAGAGAGAAAAATATTGATGTGAGAGCGAAACATCAATCAGCAGCCTCCTGCATGCCCCCTACTGGGAATGGAGCCCTCAACCTGGGTATGTGCTCTGACTAGAAATCGAACCAGCAACTTTTGGTGCATAGGATGACGCCCAACCAACTAAGCCACACTGGCGGGGCCCTTGGCATTTTAATAAAGTCAGAAACGTAGGAGAAAGATTGATAACTCCAAGAAAAATCATACAAAATTTGTTTTCATCAAAACTACCATAACACTGCCCTGGCCAGTTTGGCTCAGCGGTTAGAGCGTCGGCCTGCGGTCCGGAGAGACCCGGGTTCGGTTCCCGCTAAGGGCACCTACTTCGGTTGCAGTTTGTCCCCGGCCCTGGTTGGTCGTGCGGGTGGCAGCCACTCGATGTGTCCCTTCACGTCGATGTTTCTCTCTCTCTCCCTTCCTCTCTCTCCCTCCCACTCTATCTGTACAAAAAATGGAAAAATATCCTCGGGTGAGGATAAAAAAATAAAAATAAAAAAAAGAAAAACTACCATAACACAATTAAAAGGCAAACAACAAACTCTGAAACAATATTGGTAACATTTATGGCAGTATGAAGGTCGATGTTCTTATTTTACAAAAAGTACTTAAAAAAAGATAAGCACTTCAATAGAAAAATGTGTAAAGGGCAAGCATAGATGTTTCACAAAAGAAAAAAATAATAATACAAAGGAGCTATTAACATATGAAGAAATGTACACTGTCCCTAATAATAAACTCAATTTAAACCAACACTGAGATGCTGTTTTCTGCCTGTCTCATTGTCAAACATAAAATAAATTATAACACCCAGCTTTGGTGAAGAAATTTGGAAACAGACACTTAACTATTGGTGGAATGGCACTTGGTACAACCCCCTTTCTGGAAGCCATTAGAAATAGTATACCAAAACCTTAAAAATGCTCATGTCTTTGACCCGACACTTCAGTGACTCAAATGATGGGCACATTATGCATGGGGAGGGAGAACTAGAGATGTCTAACACCAGAGAAATAGTCAATAAACTGCAATTTGTTGTACATTTCCATATACTAACAAAAATTTCATAGTTTGGAAAATATCCATAATATATATTTAAGTGAAAAATGGAGGCTGGAAAGTAGGAGATGCAGTGTGACCCCAGCTCATAAGAGGAAAAACAGAAGGAAGATGAGGAGAAAATTATGTCATCGACATGAGAATGGGAGACATTTCCAAACAACACAAGTGAATAGTCCTATGTGGTAGATATCTTATTTTGTTCTTTGTGCTTTTCTGCATTTTCCAAATAAAAGTTTATTTTCATCTCTTTATTCATTTTAAAAACCAACTTTATTGAGGTAATTTTTTGTTTTGTTAATTTTCACCTGAGGATATTTTTCCATTGATTTTTTTTTTTTTTTAGATAGAGTGGAAGGTAGGGAGGAAGAGAGGGGGGAGAGAGAGAGAGAGAGAGAGAGAGAGAGAGAGAGAGAGAGAGAGAGGTGAGATAGACACAATGATTGGTTATCTCTTGCATGACTCCGACCAGGGCCAAGGATCGAACCTGCAACCCAGATACACGCCTTTGACTGGGAATCAAACCAGACACTTTGGTCCTCGGGCTGCTCTAAATACTGAGCCAAACTGCCCAGGGCTATTGAGGTATTCTTTGAGAAATTCCACACAATTCACCTTGTTTCAAAAGCACAATGATTTGTAGGAATTTTACTGAGTTGTTTGACTATCATCACAATCCAGTTTCTGAACATTTCCATCATCCTCAAAAGCTCCCTCGTGCCCACTTACACTCCATCATTGTTTTCACCCCCAGCCCCAGGCAACCACTAATTTACTTTCTGCCTCTCGAGATTTGTCTTTTCTGGGCACTTTATATAAATGGAGTCATGCAATTTGTGGTCTTCTGCGTCTGGTCTCTTCCACTTAGCATAATGTTGTTGAGGTTTATCCATGTTGCAGCAAGTATCAGCTCTTCATTCCTTTTTGTTGTTAAATGATATTACTTCCTCTGGATGTATCACATTTCATTTACCCATTCACCACCAGCTGATGAGTACCTGGGTTGTTGCAATCATTTTGAAAAAAAATTTTTAAATAGCGAATATTTTTAAAAGTGGACAAATAAATCTGCCTCCCCCCGGTATTCCAGCCGGCTCACAGTTAGTGACACGTAGGGTGTCGGAATGTGACTCCATGTGGGTGTTCATAAACATGCTGAATGCACAAATAAAACAAGAGAAGAATGCACCCCAAAATGTGAAGGGGGTTCTCTCTGAGTGGTAGGATTATGGGTGACTTAAATTTCCTTCTTTGTGTTTTTCTGTGTTTTCCAAAAGTTCTGCAGTGAACATGTGTTATATTTCTCATCAGAAAAGCCATCATGTGATTGTGCTTATGTGTTTAAAGAAAAATAAATGATCAAAATACCATATGACCCAGTAATTCCATTTCTAGGGAAATAAATTTAGCAAAAGTTAGAGATGCATAAACACATTTATGTACAAGATATTCTTGACATTATTTATATTGGAAAAATAGAAACAACTTCATGTTCAAAAGTAGGAGATTACTCAATAGATGCAAACCCACCCATACGGCAGAGCAACTTGCAGGCATCAACAGTCAGGGTACAGGATGGCTTGATACAGTGTCCGGGATGTGTGTCCAAATAACATGGGAGGGGTGTGTGTGAAGGGGATGCAGATCTGGCAGGATGGGCCCTGGGTCCCTGGGCCTGGGTGGTAGGCCCACAGGGACTCATGACAGTTCTCCCTTAGGGTGTCTGACAGACATACCCATTGTAAGACATTCCCTAAAGTGACAGTACAAGTAAGATAATGATCACAAATCATGGTAGTGCAATTAGAAAAGAGATCAAATTATTTACATGTGCTTATTGCTGTTCTCTGAAAAACTCAAGAGTAGCAATGAAAACCTAGTAGAAACTAAAAAGAGAGCTCATCGTGGGGCGTGTGTGTGAACAGAAAAATGTACAGCTCTCCCCTACATCAACAATAAACAGTGAGAAACCCTAAGGAGAAAAAGAGACCCCATTCACAACAGCAACAACAACAAAATACAACAGTTTACAATAAATGCGTGATTCCTATATCAAAAAAACCCACAAAACTTTACTGGGGATCATAAAAGAAGACTTGAATAAATGGAGAGACATAACTTTCTCCTGGAAGGGAAGGCTGGGTATTGTAAAGATGTCAGCTCTCCTCAAATTAATTTATAAACTTAATGGAATTCCAATTAAAATCAAAAAGGACACACAGAAGGGCATACACCAAAATGTTAACAGAGGTTCTTTCTAGACAGGAAAAAGGTAATGGATTGCTTCTGCTCCCTGCTTTCCCCCCAAGTCCTCGGCACTGAGTGAGAGCCTTTGGTAATAAGGGAA